GCGTAAGAAGACAGTATAAGTCATTATAATCAGTAATTATGTCCCCACTGGATGCAACAAATGCCTCATTTGTAATGGGTTGTAATGTTTTTGTGTTGTCGCTCCGGCCGGGACACGCCATCACAGTATGGTGAGGGGCGTAACATTTCCGTCACACGCTTGAGGTATTCGGCCAATCACAACGCACTGGATAGCTGGCCAATCAGAGCACACCTCGCTTTTTCAGACCGATGAGTTTTGTAAAAATCGACGCGTTTCAAAAAGGCGGGGCATAGAAGAGAAACAATAATGTACAGTATGTGGAAAATAATGTGTTTTTTGAACCTTAAACCGCATAAACACATTTCATTACACCAAATACACAAAATAATGTTCTTTTTAGCAGCATCATATGACCCCTTTAAGAAGGATTGGTTTCGACAGTCACATCTTGGCGTATTTTATTAAATCCATTTTTACAAAAGTCCCATAGGGTTAAATGTTTGCTCAGAAGCACAAGTTTAAGGCTCTTTTCTCCCTCATGTACCCATGTGATTGATTGAATGCATTTTTTTTTTATTGCAGTTTTATACTCTCTCAACCCTGAAAGGCACGGCAAGCATCTTTCAATAGCTACTACAGACAGTCCGCACACATCACTCACAACAAAGGGCTACTTATAGATCGTATACAGAGAGGATTCTTTGGATTAGTTGCTTGGAGCCATTCACACTGAAGTCGTTCTATTTGTGAAAAATTTTAAATATTTCCGCAAGCTGGCGTGGTGGTCTTAAGACGCTCCAGAGAACTTTGGCAACAGAAATTATTTTGCCTATGAAAATGATTTCTGTCTACATATTGTCTTTTCCAAAGCCCATAATAGAGATTGTGGAGAACCAGTCTTTAAAACCTGCATGGTGCTCAGCAGTCTGTTTGTGGTGAAACGGTTACTGTGGAAACCCTGCGGTCTGGTGTGGTGGCTAGCCTAACTAGAGTCGCTCTTTTATAGAAGTAGTAATAGCTGTGTTTCTAATTAGGGAATGTGTTTCCGTAAATCTCTTCAAAGCAAGAGGATGTGTTCCAGTCTTAGCTTGTTGCTTGTACTGTGGTGACCAAAATCACACATTAGAGCAAGGAAGATGACATGGGTTCGTTGGCGAAGGAAGCAGGAAAACGAACGTCACCCGGGGAGCTCTGAATCCCTGATGTGGCAGCACTTTGGCGTCCAGTGGTTTTACGTTGTTTCAGGTTTTTTTTTTTTTACTAAATTTACCCTTATTGGAAAGGGACCGTGAGAAACGCAGCATCCTCTTTCAGTTCCAACTTAGTTTCAAAGGTGCTCGTTTTTTTATTATTATTTTTAAAAAGGAAAGCGCTCGTATGAAGTGCGCAAGAGGGAGCACTTAAAAAGCGGCTGCAGAGGGGCCTCACAATACCGTCCTTGTGCTGCGATCTGGGCTCTTCTTGCTGCAGCGAGCAGAGGAATGGAAAAGATTATCCGCAGGAATGTCTGGGGTGCCCTCAAACGCAGCGCTCCGCGCAACTGGCAAATGGGAGCGCTCGACCAAGTGGCGGGCTAATTTTTTCCTGATGAACTCAGCCGCCTGCTTCATAATGGAGTCTGATTGCCAGCGCTAAACTCACATATGGTCCATGTTTGGAGAGCCCCAATGACAGGACCACTTCTGTAGCGGGCAGAGGGAGATGATCGCTGGCTCAATCTTTTGTTGTTTCATTAGGGTTGGGTAAGGACGAGGGTTTAGTCAGGTTTATTTCGGCCCACTTTCCCCTTCAGGTGTGTGGTTCTTTTTCTTTAATTATTCACTTTTTATTGACATCACTTAATTTAAGCTCCAGTTACGCCCCAAAGCCAAACCTTATTACTTCTGGCCACACTTAATTATGTCGGTTGGTTCATGGTGCATCCCATGGCTTCATAAATTCTCCCAATTAATTTGGAGGCTATTTATTGTTTTGAGTTCTTGGAAACAACTTTTGCGGCCCCGTTACAGCAAGTGGCGGTAGAATTAACCCCATAAATTACAAGGACAGGCTCGTTTTACTTGTGGTGAGTGTGTTTTAGCTCAGTGGAACATCGCCATCAGCCTACAGAAAGACAAAAAGGGAATGTGGTCAGGTTTCCGAGACCAAAGCATGTGTTTGTAGACCTTGTGGTCGCACGGGAAGAGGAAGGGGCAATGTGGGGTCAAAAGGTGAGGGAGGCCAAGGAAAGGAGCTCGTTAGCTACGACATGTTCAGCACTCCCTTTTTTTTAATTGGCTCTGGTTGCCATCCACACACGCCCTCGCCACTTCCTGTTGGCCTGGGGCCACCGGAGAGGGGCCTAGAAACTCCAGCTTGTTGATTATTGAGTCGGGCCCTTTATTTGCTCTCAAATTCATCACTACCCAGTGCACTGGCTATTTTAATGGTCTTATTTATTTAAACTGTGCTTCAAAGGTAACCCAGTGGAGAAATAACAATTCGGCTGCCATTTTTTATTACTTTATGTCATGTGTACTCATGTTGGTTTATATTCTCACGGCGGGCCTGCAGTCTGTCATTATTTGGGTCGTGGCTGCCAAAAGGGTTTGGGCTAATTGGATTTCGAAGTTCATTTTCATCAGCTATTTGATAAAGACCTGGCGGCGGTCCTAAAAACTCCAGCCACCCGCGGTATCCGCACCAATGAGTACATTCCACACGTCGGGACTGTAATAAGAAGAAGTGAAAAGAAATTTGATCAGAGTGATCTCATCTGGGGAGACGTTTTACTTTATTTCCTCATGAGCCCCGTGTAAACACTGGAAGCAAAGTGGAAGTTGTGCGGCTCACTGTGATGGATTTTCCCCCATGACACCGTCAAGCATGTTTTGTGCTAATCTGCCAGCTAATTGAAAGCAGCTTGCTTTCATGTCCAGTGTTACAATGCCCATGCCTCTTGAAATGAAAATGATGGAGGATGCATCTGTGATATTGGCTTTAAATAGATGATTTTTTGGATCAGAGACGTCAGGAGCTGTGATCTATTAGCAGAGAGTGTTTTGCGCAGCTCGTCAGGTGATGGAGATTTACCGCTGATTACAGAACCGGCTTTCTGACAAGATGCGCATTAAATATCGCATGCGATTTATCGTGCAGCCCTAGTGTAGTGTCTCTGTCAGAAGACAACGTAATGCAGGCCATTGAACAGGCATTTCTAGAGCTATTATCCTTGATGTGATGAAGTATCTTGAAATATTCTCCAGCTGAGAGAAGAACACTGATTAAAATTAGAATTTGAAGTAGAGATCAGTTTGACCTATATATATTACAGATATTTCACTGGTTATTGTTCTTTAGTATGATGATGATGATGATAATTCTTATTGTCACTAATATGCCAATGGATGTGTAATAATTTATTAGTTGTATTAATAAT